CACGAGGCGCTGTAGTTAGCGGGAAGAGGGGGGGGGGGGCGCATCCGAACACCGCCATTGGGGCCTTCGGTGGAACTCCCTATGAGGCCACGAGGCGCTGTATTGGGTAATGGAAACGCATGCGAACACCGCCGTTGGGGCTTTCGGTGGAGCTCCCTTTGGGGCCACGAACACCGCCACAAGGGCCTTCGGTGGAGCTCCGTATGGGGCCACGAAGCGCTTTAGTAAGTGGGCGAGACGCATGCGAACGCCGCTACTGAAGCCTTCGGTGGAGCTACCTATGGGGCAACGGAGCGGTGTTGTTCGTGCTGACGGTGATGATGAAGATGGTGGTCATGGGAGGAGGGGGCAACGGAAGGAAGGGAAAGAACGCGGGGCGCTGTCTCTTCAAAACGAGGACCCAACACCGCAGGATGGTTGGGACATATTGCGATGTGGATGCGTAAGCTATGCGGGGCAAGCTGCGTGATGCAAGCAACAAAGTGCAGACAGCATCGCGCAACGAAGCGGTAACGAGGCGGAAACGGGCGGCAGCGTGGCGAACCCTCGGCCGACCCCACGAGCGGGGTGGGCGGCAGCGAGGCGAAACCTCGGCGGACCCAAACGAAGAATTGCAACCAAAAACAGTTTTTTTTGCAATCCTTCGTTGTTTTGCAATCCTTCGTTTTTTTTTGTTTGCAATCCTTCGTTTGTTTGCAATCCTTCGTTTTCGTTTCCCCCCCAATCCTTCGTCCAAGCGCGGCGGGCGGCAACGAGACGGCAACGGAGCGGGCGGCAACGCGGCGACACCTCGGCGGCAAAGGGGCGGCAGCGTGGCGAGAGCACGGCGGACCCCCCAAGGTGCGGTGGGCGAGCAATGGGGCGGCAACGGGGCGGCCACGCGGCGAAGCCTTGGCGGACACCCTCCCAGGCGCGGTGGCCACCACGGCGCGGCAGCGGGCGGCAGAGCGGCGACACCTCGGCGGACTCCCCGTGCGCGGTGGGCGGCAGCGAGGCGGTCGCGGGCGGCCGCGTGGCGAAAGCGCGGCGGACCCATCCGGATCCCTGACTGCGGGCACCGTTCGGGGAGTGCAGGCACAGCACGTTTGCTACTTTTCATCGTTCTTCGGCATGTGTACAAGGTTTCATGGTTTTATTCGTTCCACAATCATAAAGGCGGTGTCCAAAAGAAAAACCCGTCGTAAAAACAGTGTCCGCGGCGCGAGCTGAGGGAAAATAGGCCGATCTTAACACCTCGGCGCATCTGCACGTAACGAGCATGTCACGAAATTCGGCCCGCAAATTCGAGCGAAAGCTGACGAGGAGAACGGGAAGGAGGAAGAGGAGGAGGACAAGGCGAAAGGGCGAGGGCGCTGTGCGGATAGCCTCGTATGGCCCAAACGGCCACTCATGTAATCCAAAAATGCACAGCGCAATCCAGAGGGGAAGATGGAAGAGGAGGAGCAGGAGGATGAGGAGGAGGAGGAGGAGGAGGAGCAGGAGGAGGAGGAGGATGAAACCACAAAAGTTCGCGTGTGCGCGGACCAGCCCAGGGATTAGCCTGGGATACTCGCACACATGCCCCCCGCACGAGCGGAGAAAGAGGAGGAGGAGGAGGAAGAGGAAGGGGAGAAGAGAGGGGTAAGAGGAGGAAGAGGAAGGGGAGAGGAGGAGGAGGAGGAGGAGGAGGAGGAGGAGGAAGAGGAAGGGGAGAAGAGAGAACGGGGTGCGCGCGAAAGTGCATGGTGGCACCCCCGCGCAGTGGCCCGTACGGAGGGCTCTCTGGGCCGTCGCGGCGGGAGCGGGAAGTCGAGACCCGGTTCGGCAAGCAGAGGCTCGCGAGAGGGGCCGCCGGCGGCCACGCACACCAACCGGCCCGACCGGGGCGAGCATGCACGAGAAGCACGAGGAGGAGAAGAAGAAAAATACGACGGAGAAGGCGAAGAGGGAGAAGGACAAGAAGAACAAGGAGGATACGAGGAAGGAGAATCAGAAGGGCAAGAAGAAGAAGGAGGAGGAGGCGAAGGAGAAGTCAACACTGTGTTCATGGCTTTCATTGTTTCCAGTGAGGGCTGCCGAATATGGCCTGGCGGTCTTGTGCGAGACGGATTCCTTTTTTCTAGGAGGTTTGCAGCATGCATGACGAACGGTTTCTCGCTGTCGTGGCGTTGCACAAAGAATCCTTTAGGAGCGGCCTCCTTACAACAGGTCTTTTTTTGCGGCGATCTTGCAACAGGATTCCTCGCGCGACGGCTCTGCAACAATATTCCTTTTGCGGCGGCCTTGCAAACTGATGTCTTTTATTGCTGGCCTCTTTGCGGCGGGCCGTACGTAGTTATTTCTAGGTATTTCTTCTGTGGCGTGCACTTGAAAGAAGCAAGTAAGAGGCACATAGGGAGAATCAGAAGAAGAAGAAGACGAAGACAAAGTGGTATGACACAGGTGCGGCGTTATCAACTCTACTCCCCCTCCCCCCCCCCCCGGGCAGCGCGGAGCGCGCCAGTGGCGGCGCCAGAGACGCCGCCAGAGGGGGGTCAAAGCGCCGACTCAGGGAATCCGCGCGGACCTCTAAGAGTTTACGTTTGTGCAGACTTCTTGGTCCTACGGGACGAGGGGCGGCCTGCCGCGAGAGGGGGAAAAGGCAGGAAGAGGAGGAGGAGGACGAGGAGGAGGAGGAGGAGGAGAACGAGGAGGAGGAGGAGGGAGGAGGAGAAGGAGGAGGACGAGGAGGAGGACGAGGACGAGGAGGAGGCAGGAGAACGAGGAGGAGGAGGAGGAGGACGAGGAGGAGGACGAGGACGAGGAGGAGGCAGGAGAGACGGTCGGGCGCAGGAAGATGAGGAGCACGCGCGGCTGGCCTCGCGCGCGGGAAGCGCGGAGACCTCACGCCGGACCGCACGCCGCGGCCACACGCGCGTGTCCAAAAGTCGCCCAAGCCAGCCACGGAACGCGCTTCCGGCTTCCTGGCAAGGGTGAAAGGGCCCTGGGACACACAAACAAATGCACACAAGTAAAAAGATTCCCCATATCTTCCCATACTTTCTGGGTTCCTGTCTTCCCCACCACTTCCCACATTTCCCATATTTTCTGAGGAATCGAAGATTAATTGTGTCTGTGTGTTTCTTCCTCTCCTGAAAGGGGGTGCTGGACCTGCGCGCAGTGGAGCCAAGGCGGGTCGGGGAACGGATGTCCCTCTGAATTCCTGCCCGATGGTGCAGTCGAGCGCAAGAACAAGACCACATCCCGCAGTGCATAGCAACGTGAGGTTCGATGATTTCGCGGGGGTGTCTGGTGAGTTCAACTTCTTGCCTCGGGTGACCTGGCCCTCGCCCGAGAAGTGCGACACCGTGCTCCCTCACACGTTGAGGCGTGATAGCATGCAAAGCGCTGTCTAGTAGGATTTCGGCAAGTCTTCAAGGACCCCCCCTCTCCTCGCACTGATTCGCATGCCCTTCCCCCCATCCCAACGATCCATGGGCGTCCCTGACGCCTCCGTGGAGCTCTCCAAGACTCGGCTTTGCTGCCAAGATGGCTTTGGAAGGCCGCCGGGGTCGCCAAACTAGCCTAATACTTCGGGGGTGCTAAAGTTTTTGACCATAAGATGAGAATTGCCTCGCTGGTCACGCGTGCCGCGGAGGACCGATCAGGATGCAAAGGTGCCTTGATGCGGATTCGCGAGCCTTTGTGGGCCCTCTGGGACGGCCAACCAGTGAACCGAGAGCGACCGCATTGGAGAAGGATGCCCAGGGTCTCACAGCATCAATGCAACAAGGAATACAATGAAACATGGCGTTGGCATGATAAGGACAGGGTCGATGGGGATGATGACACGGACGACCAAACGTGACCCAAGCGGAGTGGTTTACTGTGAATGGGTTCAAGTCGGAGTGTTTTCCGGCCCTATTTTAAATGGGACGGAGTAATTATCACTCTGTTTTAAAGATATATATACATATATATATGTATATATTATATTCTTACAGGGTGAGAGCCCATCGGAGTCGAACCGCCGCCCGACCCAAAGCATGTCGCTAAGATTCTACGGGGGGGCAGGGGGCGTCGAGAGCACGACGTCTTATGGTCAAAACTATAGTACCCCCCGTGTATTGCCTCCAGAGGCACCCAACAGCACAACGAATATACAAAGAGGCGCCGAAAAAAGGCCCCAAGAGACTTCTAAGAAACCAAGGGCGGCTCAAGAGAGTCCCAAAGTAGCCCACGAGGGCCCCAAGATGGCCCAATACGGCCGAGGCGGTGACCCACGAAACTCCCCCAAAAGCGCGCAGAGTCTCAATATAGCCGAGAGGGGCCCAAAACTGCCCAAGGAGGCCCCAAAATGACCCACGACGACCCAAGAAAGTCCAAAGACGGCCTTGGGGTCCCAAGAGGACCCCAAGACGGCCACGCAGGATTCCAAGCCAGCCCAGGCCGACCCTATGAAAGCCTCTGAAGGAATCCAAACGAGACTTGCCAAATGTTAGGGCCTTCTGGGCGGTGCCCCACGCGTCATCCCACAGAGTGCTACGCTAGCATGATGACGGAACTTGCCGCAGGAAGCTGGACATGATTCCTCACAGCTGGGCTGAGCTGTGGAACAAATCTAGCAGATGGATCCTTACCGCTGGGCTGAACTGTAGCAATACCGATTCACTGCACATGGGCTGAACAAACGATTGGTCGCTGCACACGCTCTCGAAATACAACAACTGTGCAACTGAATCACCAAAACGAAAATCCATACCGGCATGGAGCGGCACCACTTGACTATTCCTCTCGCCCTCCCTGACTTTCCCTTGCCCCCCCCCTAAGCTCTCCTGTGGCTGTGTCCCTGCCTCCCTTCCTACATCCATCCCGCCGTCAGACAGTGGCACATGTATACCAGGTGCGATTCATTGAGGGAACGACAATCATCTGGCCCGGGCGCCCCGTTCTCATTCTCTCGATGTTCAAACACATTGCAGAACTCATATCCGCACGCACTTGCAACCCAGAACGCATGCAACATGTAAAGAAGCTCGGACCTTCTTCATGACAGTTTGCCGGGAATTTCTCACGACAACCTTCGACTTCTCGGCCGTATCCTGCATACCAATGGGTTCGATAGGTACGGCACGATGATATCATATTCGCTGGATGAAACGATTAGCAGCGCGGATCTGGATTCATTCGAGGAGTTGCACCCCGGACGGAGAGAAACGGGGGGGCATATATGAAGGAGTGTGAGCAGGACGAGGATGGGGAGGAGGTTGGCGTAGGCCAAGGAAGCGAAAATGGCAGCGCACAAGTACGTCACCAAATCGCCGCGGGAGGACACCAGAGAAACTGGTGGCCGGTTAGCCTTCGGGGCATGCGCCTCGAACCTCAGGCGGCCGTTCTGGGTGACCTGGACAGGCGACCGGGCCAAACCTCAACCAGACCATCAACATCCCAACTGGACGGTCCAAATCCCAACAGGTAAGAAGATCGGAGCGATCGAGATCTCAACAGACGGACAAAGCGATGCAAAACTCTGTCATTGTATGATCGTCTTGGCAATGAAGACCGAACGGCATCCCTTACGGGAGCTCACTCGATTCTCATAATTCGCAATTGGGATCTACACCGCTCCACAGCGTTATCAGATGCGAGTTCGAGTTACTCCAGGAGAGCCTTGTATAAGCGCAAGGCACTCCAAGACGGTAGTGTGCATACCCAAACGAACCGTATACACAACTTGTATCAAACACATAAGAAGCGCATTGGTCACGAATCTTAACGTTCGCAGTCACGCACACGAAACGGATGCGGAACGTTTCAGAAACGCGTGCGAAATTTATGCCAAGACACGCTAATGACATCTTCGAAAAGTACCCGAAACGGATACGGCGTGTACATGGGACGTGCATGTATATGATATATTTATATGACGTGTACGAGATGAAAATGACATAAGACAAACATGGTCGTAAGGGACTCGTACAAACCCCGTACATGAAACGTGTATGCAACGAATGCAATAACGCACAATCGACGCAACCGAAACCTCCTGACCAAACGTGAATGACACCTACCTGGCACTTGCCTGGAATGTATAGGGGACGTACAGGAACGTATGCACAACGAATACAAGCAAATGAGGCGGAAAACAACGAGTCGGAACATATTCGTTGTAAGGTGGGGGGTCGTCCCTCCGCTTTCGTAGTTTCGTGGGGAGAGAGAGAGAGAGAGAGAGAGAGAGAGAGAGAGAAAGACAGAAAAACAAAAAGCGAAAACCAGACAGAGAATGAGAGAACCAACAGGGAGGGGAGGGAGGGACGGCGGCGGGAAGGCGAAGGGACCCTGGACACTTCTCTTTGGTGGCGAATGCGGTAGCCGCGCCGCCCAGGGCTGATTGACCCCCAGGGGCTTGCATCCTTTAAGGGGAGGGGAGGGGGAGAGGCTCGAGGCAAGGAGGGGGGCGAGGAGGGGAGCGAAGAGAAAACACAGCAATGCCTCCTCGCACCGATGCTCTTTACAAAACAGGGTCCCAGAAAACACGCGCGCCCCTGCATCATTGCTGTTGCTGCGTCCCCTCCTCCCTCCCTCCCTGATGTCCTGTCTCCCTACCTCTCTCTCCCTTTGCCTCTCAGGTCCCTCCGCAGGGTCAGGATCCAGGACCAAGGTTTTCGTTTTTGTTTGATTTGTTTGTGGCGGTTCTGTCGCCCCTGAATGCTTTCCTGCGCCTCGCAGAGAACAATTCTGGGGGGTGCCCGCATCACCCCTTGAATGCTGCCGAGAGCCCAACATAAATTCAGGAGAGAAACCAACACGTATGGTTATTGACCGACATTGCCGTTATCAATACTGTTGTCGGTGCTGGCGAATCGGGAGGTCAGGGCGGAGAATAGTCTGGATCGGACTCTTGTGACAGCAGTATGCACGTATGGCCGCATGTCTTTCCAATGCTCGGCCTCGCATTGGCGATCGCGTCAACCATCCGCATGTGCATCCAACAAATGTTCCCAACGCTTGGAATCCTGATGCTGCCAATTCTGACACCAGTATAGCCAGGTAGTCATATCCGTTTACTTGGCTTCAGTATGCGAAGGCAGCACGCGCACGGGGCCACATGTTTCCAGCGCTCGGCCCTGCGTGGACGCGCAGGACAGGCACCCGCCTGCGTATCCAGCAAGCGGCATGAGTTTTGTGAATTGCAGTCCTGAGCAGTGAACGCGCCCGTAGACTTTTAGCACACAGGGTGACTTTGGCTCAAGAACGGCACCCTGGGCAAAGGGGCCAGCTCCATGCCTCTCTCGGCGGTGGCGCTCCTCGTCGCCGTCGCTAGCGCCGTGTCGATTCTATCCATCGATGGGCTTCCTGAGGATGCAGACGAACAATCGGTGGACACCAGGATTCACATGCGGAATCATCACGTTCTTGTGCGTGTTGCCCGCTCGCCCAGGAAGAAGAACAGCACGGTCGCACTTGCGCATGTCAACTCGCAAGAAAGCGCCATAGCCGCCGACACTGCCGTTCTTAATTTATATCTTGGTGAAGATAGTTGTGCCCATGTGCGCATACCGAACACAATCAAACCATGAGGTACTGTGTCAACCGTCCAAATGACATCGCGGAGGGGGGCAATTGAGACAATGGCAGCTTTGTCGACGAAAGCATTCTCGTCACCAGAGGCTGGACGCAGCTGAAGAAAGTCAATGGTTTTGTGCTTAAGAAGAAGCGACGCCGATTGAACATAATTCGAACGACTTTTCCCCGTGTTTTGCTTTGTGTTCTCAATTTGTTGTTTTCATTTAATTGCCGTTGTCTCAACTGCTTTTCCTCCAATCATCACAGCGGATGAGGTCAGGAGTTTCCTGTTGTCCACTAGTGGCAACGATTCTCTACGCTCGGCAGTGGTGGAATTCACCAATCTCGAAGAGGCATCCGTGGTCGCGGGCATGTTTGACCAATGCGTCGTGAAGGTAACGGGCCAAAGATTGTATTTTACAGCTTCCATCCACTCCCCCTCCTCCTTGCTCTTCATGTTTTGTCCTTGGAAGGAGTAGGGGAAGAGAGGTGGTGGCGCTGTATATTCTTGGGCTCCCGAAAAAAGGGCTACGAGTTGCCTCTCACAGTGCGCTATGCAAGTGATGGACACCGACGGCTCTCCGAAGCTGGCAAGCAGCGGCCGTGGCCGCCCAGCGACCCGCCACCACAGCACGTCGTGATGAAGAACGCGCCTCGTCGCCTCCGCCCCAAGGCGAAATGCCCGCCGAAGTTCCCGCCTGTGCCGCCTCGGGCCCCGCCTCCCGCGCAGAGGCGCATCAGAGACATCAAGGCGATGGTCCAGGAGTGCCATAAGAGCTGATTGGCGTCGATTCCGAAAGACTGACAATAGTGGCCGCGGAATAACGAATTTTTTCCAACAAATCTTCGAGAGCACTTCGGTGCGCTATTGGTCTCGATGTTGAGGGCTGGTGATCCGGTCATCCAAGCGGCTGAGACGCTGATCCGGCTGATCTGGTGATCTGGTCGGCTGATTCAATGATCTTGCTGATCCGGTGATCCGGCCAACTGATCCCGGGATCTGGTGATCCGGCCGGGCGATCCGGCTGATTCAGCGACCAAATCCGGCCAGCTGATCCATCCGGTGGCCTGGTGATCCGGTCGGCTGCGATCCGCGGTTGATCCTGATGATCTGGCTGATCTGGCTGATTTGGTGGATCCGGTATGGATCCACTGGATCCGGATGATCCGGGTGATCTGGATGATCCGGTGGACCCGGCTGATCTGGGTGATCTGGCTGATCCGGAGATCCGTTGATCCGGACAACTGGTCTGGCTGAGCCGATGGATCTGGTGATCCAACTGGCTGCTCCGGTGATCCAGCCGACTGATCCAGTGATCCGGGGATCCAACGGTCTGAACAAATGCTGTTGTGATCCAATCAACTGATCTGGCAATTGATCTGGATGATCTGGCTGACCCACTTGATCATGGCTGCTCTGGTTGATCCGGCTGATCCGCCTAATGAAATCTGCTTGATCCGCCTGATCAGGTTGGTCTGGTTGATCGAGCGAGCTAATCCAGCTGATCCGGTTGATCCATTGAGCCTACTGTGACCTGGTTGATCCTGATGATCCGGCCGGCTGATCCGGTGATCTGGTGATCGGGTGCGAATCTGGTGATCTGGCCGGCTGGTCTGGTGATCCAAGGGATCTGGCTGGCGAATCCAATGATCCAACTGATCTGGTGATTCGGTATCCCGGCTGGCTGATCCGGTGATCTGGGGATGGTCCGGCCAACTGATCCAATCCAACTGATCTGGTGATCCGGCAACCCGGCTGGCTGTTCCGGTGATCTGGGGATGTTCCAGCCAACTTATCCGGTTAATCCAACTGATCTGGTGATCTGGTAACCTGGATAGCTGATCTGGTGATCTAGGGATGGTCCGCCCAACTGATCGGGTTGATCCGGCTGATCCTGGTGCTTCGGTGATCCGGCCGGCTGATCCGAAAATCTGGTGATCTGGCCAGATGGTTCGGCTGATCCCGTGATCCGGCGGGCTGATACACATGATTCGGCTGATCTAACTGATCCGGTTCATCTGGTTGATCTGGCTGACCCGGTTGATCCTGCTGATCCGGCTGATCCAATTGGTCTGGTTGATCCGTTTGATCCAATTGTTCCGCCTGATTCAGGGGATTCGGGTGATCTGGCTGATCGCATTGATCACCAGACATCGGGCGTCTCGAAAAAATCGAGACGGAGGTTTTTCGTCGTTTTTGGTCCCTCGGGGCCCTCGCTGGGCCTCGGGACCGTCAAAAAACGACTCGGGATGAAAAACCGATCCTGGGGAAATGGTCGGGATATCTCGGGGGCCCGAGTCTTGAAAAAATCGAAACGTCAGATGTCTGGGTCTGGCTGGTCTGGTTGATCTGGCTGATCCGGCTGATCCAATTGATCCGGTTGATGCGGCTTACGGGTGATCCGGGTGATCCTGATGATCCGGGTGATCCGGCTGATCCAATTGATCCGGCTGATCCGGTTGATCCGGCGGATCTGGTTGAGATCTGGCCCTTTCAGTTGGTCCAAATTCGCCAGCCCAAGCCGGAGGCGTGCTA